GGTGTATTCCTAGAAGTGAAATGGCTGTATCCTAGGGCACGTGTACGTTTTACTTTTTAAAGAAATTGCCAAACCATTTACCAAAGTGGCGTCACCATTTTTTTATTCCCTCCAGCATCAAATGAAGATTGGAAGCTGAATATTCAAGAAATTGGAAAGACTTTCTATCAGTTCCACTTGTGCACCAGTGAACGTGTGTGTCACATATACCTCAGCAGCTTGACTAGAGTGTGAAAAAGAAATTGTCTGTAACACTGGAGACTCACTTCAATTTATTAGTCACCCATCAGTCTGATGGTGGATCTGGTGGGGTTTCTGAGCAGCCCTCACCTGGGTAAATACCTAGGATGTGCCAAGGGAAACAGCGCTGACATTTTGAAATAAAACAGGCCAAAGGGTCACTGTGTCTCAGGGGCTCCTCATTCTTTCACCACTCTGCCTTTTTGACACGTTAATTCCCATTTTTCACAGTTGACTTCGGGCAGATCCCTTGGGATCTATACCTCGCATCCTCACTGCGTCCCTCTGTATCTTTTCTAGAACCTGTAACTCTTACCAATAGATAATAAATAAATATGATCATGGTCATTTCTCCCTCTTCCAGGCAAATAAGGGTGTGTCCAGCAAGACCACATCCATCGCTGAATCCCATCACCCCCTCTGGTCACCCTGTCCCACCTGCACACAACACTAGTGATCCCCACCGTCCCTTGGGCTGCATCTGATTGCTCTTAATCCATAGAAAACCCACAGCATTCTTCCTCTCCAAACCAATTTGAATCCATTTTATAAGATTTCACAAGACACTCTAACTACTTTCTAATATCTACATGGTGCTGCCTCCTAGCCCCAATTCCGTAATGTGCCTGCAAATGCTATTACACCTGTCAGGGATGGTTTGTTTTCAATAATCTCATAGCTTTTTTATTTATTGGACCACCACAGCCCTCTATGTGTTTACTTAGTCTTTGCTTATTTGTCAAGTGCACAAAGCATCTTTCCCCTCACAGCCCCAGAGTGCCACGCGCTCGATTTCTAGGTTAGGTAAAAGATGGCAGTAGAGCAGCAGGAAGAGCTGGAGGCAAGGAAGACAGTGTGAGGAGGCGGGTAGGAAGGGAGGGAAGACGTATGTGAACACCGTCCCGTTACAATGTGCGACCACTCTGTTTTCCATCCGTTCTCATTTACAAGGTAAAACATGCTTGGAACTAAACACGCCTATCGAAACCTTTGAATGGCCAAATGTATTGGTATCACCTTTGTTTCGTTCCAAATCTCCTTCTAAAAGTGGCTGCAGAGAATCAAGCCCCCATAAAGAAGAAAAAGAGAAACACTAAAAGTCATCGCCAAAACCCAGCCATCTAATTTTCAATTCATAACTGAGCTTATCATCAGTGCCCCCTTGGCCTGTGTACATGCATCAATGCCAGGGCAAGTAAGAGAAAAGGCTCCCCTTCAGGATAAAGTAGTACAATGCACTCACCCTTCGTGCATCATCTTATCTAGTCTTTACAAAATCCAGTGAGGCAGCTATAATCATTCTCACCTGACAAATGAGAAGCTGGGAATTAGAGAAGTAAATGACTTGCCCAGGCTGACACAGCTGGAAAGAGGCAGGGGCAGTATTCAAACTGAGGACTTCAGACTCCAAAGCTCATACTCTTTTTTGCTCAATCAGGCTGCCTCCCGAGTTAAACTCCCCCGTCCCCCATTACAGGTGCCACGAGACTCTACCATCTCTTCATCATCATCAAAAACTGTGTATCAAGGACCCACTGCCTATATGGCATTGCTCTTGTTTCCACAGCAACACGCTGCCAGAGAGTCATGGGAGTATCCTGTGCTCAAAAAAATGATGATGTAATGTCCTGTGATTGTGGCTCTGAAAGGTGACAGTTACACTACTACAGAGGATGCCATCTCAGCTGGCAGCCTGGAGCCTGCAGGAGCCAAGCGAGAAGAAAAGAAGGAGAGGAGAAAGGCAGTGGGTTGTAACCCAAGACGGTGGTCTGTTTTCACTATGAACATGTTCGTGGTTGTTGCTGAAACAGAATCCTAGCCAGGTTTGCACATTAATGGTTCTTTTATTAGGAAACAAATCAAGCAATCCAGGAGAGAAAGTAAAATTAGACTGTAGTGCTAACAGCTCCCCAGAGGTACGTGGCAATGATTATGGAGTTAAATGACTACATCACTAACAACTGCGATGGCAAGTCAGTCCCTCTCAGATCCATTTTTGCTCTCAATGTACAGATGCTGAAACCCACTAGTAAATAAACAAATTACCCCCTTATCCATTTGTTTAACTGTTTCCTTCTTTCCTCATCCCAAATCATGGTTTTGCCACACTTTTCAGAGGCTGATTTAAAATGTGTTGTTGTTGTTGTTGTTTTTTGCCATCATTGCTTACAAAAATAATCCTGGCTCATGAAACACATCTCACAAGAAGGAAGAAAGAAATTGCCTTTTGATGACAAGCTTTCACCACTGACTTTTGGACACTGTGACTGACACATTACAGCAAAATATATTACCCCAACTGTGTACTGGATGTAAGCTTAAAAACTGAAATTGCTTTCGAGACTGAGAATTTTCAGATTAAAAGAATATGGAGAGCACACCACTGAGTTTTTAAACGTATTATTTACCCAAACTTGCCACAAGTTTTAAATCAGATTCTTTCAAAGAAATCAAACTATAGTCATATTTAGATTTGGGTTCCAACAATGTCTGCATTTATAAATAAAGTAAGAAGATAAGTCCATTTTTAAAAGTCAGCGTTTGCAGCATTCCTGCATCTACAAGTGCAGATGTTAGAAACCTGGAAAAAATAATTAACTTAAGTGTTCCAGTTAGCATTAAACCAGAAAGGAGAGAATACATACAGAAAATCCCCATTTTTACAAATGAGTGAGGCTTAGAATGCATCATATCTCCAACACAAGTTAACCCCCCCCCCCCCGCCCTCGTTTAAGGAGCCCCTGGAACAAACGCAGCCACTTGCTAAGTATACACGAGAGTAGGTTTGCAGAAGCCACTCAGCTCAGGTCGAATCAAAAGAAACATGGTGCCTTAAATTTCTTCCCAAACTGTACTCCAGGATTGCTTTTCCTTCCCCTGTGTTCCGAAGAGCAAACAAAGAAAAGGTGCTTGCTCCTCACACTTCTCTAAATGTTTTAACAAAAGGCTGCTGAATAAACACATTACTCACTTAAAAACTGAGAAGAAGTTCTATTCCGGAGATAAAAGCAACTATATTTGCATTTTAACAGTTGTGAGCGAGCGCCACCTGGCGGGAGCATCCGGAGCCGGCTTTTAGCATCGGGCAGCTTCCCAAGCCCGTACGGTTTTACCGCACGCCACCCAAGAACGCTCTGAGACCCGTGGAGGAATATTTTTGACACTGGTTCTTGCCGCAGAAACCTGAGTACTATTCATGGGTGGCAGGCCGGCCAGGCCTTGGAGGATAGTAAAAATTTAAGTCACAAATGATGCCTGGTCCCCAGGACTGCCCCCAAGCATCCTCCTCCTTCCCTGCCCTAGCACACCTAACACAGACCCAAAACGAGGAAAACAGGAATTGTGCACCATCTTCAGAATGATGTGTGGCTGTCCCTCTTCTCTTACTTGCTGAACCAACCTTTAAGCTTCACACACCTCTAAAGAAGTGTCCTAGTCGCCTAACTTCCCAGCCACGAAACAAGCTGTTCTTTCGCATAAGTCCCATATTCAGTTCCTGTTTTGGAGCAAGGAAGACTCCAGTGCATTTCCAGTGGAATGTCACTCTAGCGGCTCTTAACCTCAGAAGCAGCCTGTTTAAAGAGGTTACACTCCCCCACAGTTTCTTTTTCTTCCCTTCTCTTTCTTTCAGCGTGATAATAGATGGGCACCGCTGTTACTCATCAATCCAAAACGAATCTTTTCCTAAGTCCCACTAGCTCATCTCAGCCTGCCCCCATGATCCCAGCAATCTCCCCTCAGCGTGGTCACACCTGAGCTAATTGGAAACTGCAAGGTGATTCTGAACTTGGAAGCACACCTGCACTCCTTTCTCTCTTCTCTCCTTCCCCCACCGCCTACTCTTTGGGGGCTCAGGGCTGGAAGCTGCCTGCCGTGGGCTTTGGGGATGTGTAAGATCCCGGATCCTGGAGGCCTCCTGTGCATGCCAACTTGCCATTAGTAGCATGCCAGGGCAAACGCCCGCACACGCGCACACACACACACACACACACACACACACACACACACACACACGGGAAACTACCTCTGCTCGCCTCCTCCCCATGGTCAAATCCAAATACGAGTCCCCCAAACTTTTCTGGAGCAGACACGCTCACAGGTCAAATCCCCTCCACCTGAAGGGCCTTAACAGGGGCGCCCGTTTGCTTCGGATAAGAACCACGGGGTAGGGAGGAGGGATGGCCGTCTCTATCGTTAACACCAACACCTCCACGGTGCCTTCAGCGGCGTAAGGACAAGCTCAGGGAAGCAGCGTGGTTAGAGCAAGTCTGGGGCCGCCTGTCTCTCCCGTGAGACAAGAAAAGCCACCGCCCTGGCCGCCTCGGCCTGCTGGCGACCGGTCCTCCCCACGAAAAACGCGCGCTGCCCAGGAGGCTGCCGGGGAGAGGACGCTCCACCCCGGGCGTCGATGCCGCTTTCTATCTCACCGCCCCAAACACTCAAGTGACAGATTCCGACAAGTGGGAGGCGGCGAGCGGAAATATTCGCCACAGCCGCGTAAAGTTACTCGAGGCCGGGGGGTCCGCAGAAAAGTAAAGCGGCGCACTTCGCCGAACGCTGCCGGCCGAGGGACGCCGGGGGCCGGGCACGCTGGCCCGGGCGCGCCTGGACACGGCTGCCCGCGGCTGCAGTCGGGGACCCGGGCTCCGGCCAGCCGCCCCCCGCATCCCCCACGAGCCTGCACAACTTTCTCCTCCCGGGGCCCGGCGGCAGGCGCCCGGACGCGCCGGGGAGGGAGAAGGGGCCGGGGGCGCACTTACCTGCGGCGCTCTGCGCCCGGGCGCCGGGTAGCGGCGGCAGCTGCAACCGCAGGAGCAGGCTGAGGGCGAGCGCGGCGAGGCTCGCCATCCGGGCGGCGGTGGCTCAGCCACTTCCCGCGGGGGCCGGGGCCGGGACTGGGGCGGGCGCGGGGCGGCCCCGCATCGTCGGCGCGGCCGCAGGCTGTACGCGCCGCTGGGCTCGCGGAGCCGGCGCCGCTACGCTCGAAGCCGAGGCGCAGCGCGAACTGAGGCGGGAGGCTGGGCGGGGGCGGGATGCTGGGCGGGGGGCGGGGGGCGGTGTCCCCGGAGTCCTAACGCCGCCGCCGCCGCCGCCCACCCGCCCGACGCTCCGCCTCGGCCGCGCACACCCCCTCGCGCGCACGCCCGCGCCTTGCACACGCCCGCGCCTGGCCCACGCGGGCTCCCCGCGCTCCCTCGCCGGGCCGGGCGGCTCGGGGCAGCTGGCTCCTACAGTCATGCGCCCCGCAGGGTCCTCGCCCCTTCCCCCCGGGCCGCGCTGCCGCGCACCATCTGCCCGGCTGGGGTGCAGGTATAGGGGGCGGTGGGGGGAGGAGGGAGAGAGAGAGAAGCCGTGGGAGAACAGGTGAGTGGGGGGACAGATGCGAGAGGAGGGAAGGAGGGGGCAGCCGTTTCGACTCGGGAGGGGGGACCAGATGAATGGGGGAAGGGAGGGGCATCTCCCCTCAACTGTAGCAGGTGTCCGCTGGCGAGGGTCTCGGGCACGCCCTGCGATGAGTAGTTCATGTAAGAGTCGTCACCCTACCTCTAGCACGCGCGCGCGCGCACACACACACACACACACACTCTTCTGGGTGCATCTATGACCGCGCCGCAATCCCCCCCCATCAGCCTCACAGGCACCCCTCTCATTCACCCACACCTCTCCCTTGTCACCACCCCACACGGGAGAGGGTGAAGACTGGGCATGAGGCATCCCAATCTCTCTTGCTGCCTTCCCCCTTCCCCTTCTCCGGAGACAGATCTCTGTAGCTTTTTCCTTTTTCTTCCCGGTCTGAACAAAGACCTGGTTGAGGCTGAAAGCCTAAAACCATAGATCAGAGTCCGAGCTGTCCCTTGCAGCCCACAGGCTGGGACTCTGCTCTCCTGGGAGCAGGGGATCTCATGGAAGAGACCAGGTGCCACTTGGTCCTGGCTGGGGGCCTGGGCTGTAAAAGCCAGGGGCGGGGCCTCTGGGCAAAGCTCAAGGGGTTCACACTCTGTGAACCTGGCCAAAGCCCTCCTTCTTCTGTTTCAGCAAGCCCCAGCCCCCCACCCCATCCCCAGTCTCATCCTTGTTGGGACTCCAAGGATTGGACTGGACAGACTGTTGGGGAGAAATATGAAAGTCGGGCATGGCTAGGGTTTCCAAAACTGGGGAGCCTGGGGCTCTGGATTGAGTTGCTCTGGCAGGGAACACAGAGTCTCCCTCTTGCCCTCCAGTTCCCACTAGATGGAGTGGAACGGTCGCCTTGAATAGAGACCACTAACTGCCCCCATGCTACACTTGTAATCCCAGGCTAATTCTTCCAACTCTTGTCTAGCTGCCCCCCACCACCTTCACAGGTGAAGGGCTTGGGCTAGCCTAGTTCTGCTTCCCAGACCCCTGCCTGGGGCGAGTGGGATTCTGCAAGTCTGGGGAGAGGCCTGGGAGTGGGACCTATTACCAGCTGCCTCAGAGCTTCTTAATAATTCTACAAATACCTACAGGGCACTTAACCATGTGCCCTGGTCTGCTAGTCTCAGGGGACACAGAGATGACTGGCTCTCGGGACAGTTGGATTGGGAAGATCCCTTCTGCTCAGAGCTGAACAGCTGGCTTCTTCCTCCGTCACCCGAGGCCTGTCTCAGGCAGGGGAGTTATTAGGGAGGCCTGACCCAGGCCCATGACCTGTGACTCTGGGCATGGCGGATCCCAGGGCCTGACCCAGGGGAGCAGGACGTTTCTAAGCCACTAAGGAGCTTCTAACTTGTCCTGGTTCCCTTTGGCTCCTAATCATGCCCTGTCTCAGACTTTCTGGAAAAGTATTAAGTAGCAGTTCTCCTAGAGTCCTCAGGGCACAAGCCCTCCCACACCCACACTCTAGAGATGCTATATCACTGCCTTAAAAAATCCCACTGAACGGGGTTCACGTGGCCCCAAGAAAAAGCTCTGTTCGCAAGGTAACCGAGCTGGCGGAGCAGAGCCAGTGCCTGCCCTTAGCACCAGCCTGTGCCTGCCCAGGCCGAGCCATGGCCCTCTGTGCTTTCCCAGCTGCCCTCCACCCGGAAACTGACCCCTCTGTTCCTTCAGGAGCCTAACCTGCTGCCCAACAGGACTCTAACTCCGGTCACAGCACCGTGCTTTTGCACCTGCCGTTCCCTCTGCCTGGAAGGCCCTTCCCTGCATCATCTTCCCAGTTAGCCCACGCTGGTCCTTAAGGCTTCTCTGTGAAACTCTGGCAGAGAGGCACTTCCTGCTCTATGCCTGGTGCCAAGACCCCCCGGGACAGCTGCTTGGGGATGCTTTTCACACTGGGGGGAATGTGGTTTGTCCCCTGGGTCTTTTCTACAAGCCTGAGTTCTCAAAGGGCACCTGGACACTTAACACAGGGCTGCTGGGTGATGGGAGGTTGATGGGGGAGGGGGAGGGCTGGCTCAGGGCCACAGATGACTGGCTTCTCAAGGGAGGGGGTTCATGGAGAGTGACAGCATCATCTCCCACCCTCCTTCACTGGGACTTCGGTGCTGATTAGAAAGGAGGGGCTGCTTTCCCACCTGCCCCCCATCAGCCTGGGGAGCTGGGGGAACTTGACCACGTGTTCACTCCTGGCTCAGGGCTGGGTTCGGTGTCAGTGCTGAAGCAAGAAGGCCAGGGCCTGGGGTGGGGTTTGTGATGGCTGGAAAGGCCCCCAGCCCCTTTCAATTCCACTCAAGAAGGTAGCTCCTTATCCTTGGGATGACTCTGCCCTTAACCCCATGGGACTTTCGGCAAGACCTCTCTCAGCCTCAGTGTCCCTGTCTGCATAGTGGCTCCCCTTTCGGCTCTGGTGGGGGCCAAGACAGGAGTGTTCAGACACTTTAGCTGCAGATCACTTAATCTGAGCACAGTTTGAGGGGAAGCCTGAAACATGGGCATTCTTTCAACAAGTGAGCTGGGCTGGCTGCCATGTGCCAGGGATGGCAGGGCTGTGGGTTTGCAGCTTGAACAGCAGACTTGGTCTTTGCCTTCATGGAGCTTACAGTCTCGTGGGAAACACTGGACAAGGAGAAGGGAGGTAAAGATCCCAGTGGTGACCTCCATCTCCCCAGCCCCTCCCCTGCCCCCAATGATTACAGTTCTCCAGTGGGGAGCAAAGGACCAGGGGAAGACAACTTGGGCCAAGATGCTTCACTTATCCCTGGGGAAAGCCCAGTGATATATAGCTACTGTTTTATCCCCATCTTATACACAAGGAAACTGAGGCTCAAAGAGGCAACACCCTGTGTAGGGAGGCAGCCGAGGAGTGGCCCTCCACTGGAGCCTTCTCTTTCCTTGCTCTTGTGCAGGGCACCTTTAGCCGTTTAAATATAAAATTTAGAAATGCAGTCTTTAGTCGTACCAGCCACACTTCAAGTGCTCAGGAGCTACACATGGTTAGTGGCTGTCATATTGAACAGTACAGATATAGACCATTTCCATTAACACAGAAAATTCTATTAGACAGCACTGCTCAAACTACAGCCTATGGGCCAAATCTGGCCCACTGCCTGTTTTTTTTTAATAAAGTTTTATTGGAACACAGCCATGCTTATTCATCTGTGTACTACCTGTGGCTACTTTTGCAGAAAGTTCTATTAGACAGTGCTGCTCTCAAGCAGGGTCAGAAAACTACTGTAATAGGGAAGAACCTTTGTATTCTATTACAGGTTAATCACTAAAGGGATGCTGCCTATGAGCTTAAATTATACATAATGGCCCATCTCTGGGAATCCTGCCTCCCAGGTAATGAGCATTAAGCTGAAATACCTTGGCCTAGCTCACAGGAAACATACTGAGTAGGTCCACCTGTGAATGGCTGAAGGAAGGAAGACAATAACACATCCCTTCCTTCCCCCCAGTCTGACCAGAACGAGGAAATATTTGATTTGACCCCCTCCCCTTTTAGTATGAAAGAAGCCTGAATTCTAACTCGGGTAAGATGGTTCCTTGGACACTAGTCCACCATCTTGTCAGTCTGCTGGCTCTCTGGATAAAGTCGCTCTTCCTTTGCCCCAGCAACTCGTCTCGTGATTTATTGGCCTGTCCTGCAACGAGCAGTACAAGCTTGGGCTCAGTAACACGACCACCTGAAAAGGATTCCTGCTTTGGGATGCAGCAATATTATTGGATAATGCATGTTTTTATAGAACAAGATGGTTGGGTCGTGAGGTTACACTTGAAAAATACTTATGGTTTTTAAGTTGCATTTGAGTTATTTATATTTGCATGTCTTGACAGAAAGTGTATGGGGACTTCCTAGAACAGCCCCTGACCTAGGTCCTCTGCCTGCCTCTTGTTTGTAGAAAAACTGTAGCCTCCTAGGCTTCCCTGAGTTCCCTGAGTGCATTTAATCAGAGAAGTGAGAAAAATGCAGAAAGAAAGCAAAACAGTCAAGCAGGACAAAATAATAATAGCTTAGCCATTAAACAAAGACAAGGACTTTTAGTTCTTCCTCAAGGGCTAGAGATAATATTCTGAGCCATATCCTTTGAGCTGTTTTACAGATACTGAAACCTCCACCAGGTGGAAGAAGTTAACTGTATGCTGCCCACCAGCAAGTAGACCCCAGACCAGTTGGAACCAGAAGGCTGGTGATGTTGACTCTTGATTACCTCACCACCGGCCAATCAGAAGAATGTCCATGAGCTTATCACACATCCCACAACCCCCCTCCCTTACCCCGTCTTTAAAAATCTTTCCCTGAAAGCCTTCAGGGAGTTCGGGTCTTTAAAGCGCTAGCTGCGCTGGACTCCTTGCTTGGCGCCCTGCAAGAAATGCTGCACTTCCCTTCAGCAGAGCCCAGTGTAAGTAGATTGGCTTTACTGCACACAGGCAAGCGGACTTAAGTTTGGTTCGGTAACAAAAGCACCAATGCATATTAATACGTCTGCCATAAAAACATTATTCAAATAAGCCAGAATCCGGCCTGCCTCTTGTTTTTATAAATAAAGCTTTACTGAAACACAACCTTGTGTAT